ATTCGAATGGGCATCGCACGAGGTTGATGTTATGAGCATCGCGTCAGATTCGAACAAAGGTTATATCCTCGAGGTGGACTTAGAATACTCCAAGGCATTGCACACATCGCACAACAGCTACCCCTGGCCCCGAACGTATGAGGGTTAGCCCAACTGGATGTCTGAGTACCAACATAACTTGCTAGGTGGGCGGGTGGCAGACGTTGAAAAACTAGTGCCCAACTTAATGAATAAGACCAAGTACATCGTTCACTATCGCAACCTACAGCTGTACCTGTCGTTGGGTATGAGGTTGACCAAAATAAACAGGGTGCTCAAGTTCAACCAGAGCCCCTGGATGGAGCCTTACATCAGAATGAACACGGACCTGCAGCTGGCTGGCCAAAGTGACTTTGAGAAAAACCTCTACAAGCTCATGAACAACTCGGTGTTCGGTAAGACTATGGAGAACCTGAGGAAACGCGTGACCGTGAAGCTGGTTCGGTCGAATGGGGTACCCCAACCACACAGAAAACACAGGAGCATGAGGCCTGTGGGTTTGGATACGTGGTCGTCCGATGTGATGGGAAAACGAAAGCTCCGGTAGTGTATAGGGGTCCCGACGCGGCTGAAAAGTTTCTAAAGTGTTTGCAGGAGGAAGAGAAAAGTATTAGGAATGCACTGTATACAGTCGCTCCCATGCGTATGACCCAAGCCGACAGGCTAGCTCACGCCTGCAGCACTCTATGCCACGTGTGACTCACCTCTGAATGGTGATTCGGTGAGAGATCACTGCCACGTCACCGGTAAGTATAGAGGCGCAGCTCACAACCCGTGCAACCTCAAGCTTAGAATCACCCCCAAGACAATAAACATCCCCGTGGTCTTCCACAACTTGAGAGGGTACGACTCTCACTTGATCATGCAGGCCATCGCGAAAGTCGACGGCAACCTGACATGCATCCCCAACAACATGGAGAGATACATCTCCTTCAGTTTGAATGGCCTGAGGTTCATCGACTCGGTTCAGTTCCTCCTGTCATCACTCGACAGTCTGGTCAAGGCCAACGATACCTTCCCCATAACTGATCGATATACCGACGCCGAGACTCGACCCCTGCTGATGAGGAAGGGCTAGTACCCCTACAAGAACATGGATAGTTGGGCCAAGTTCGCGAGACCCGACTGCCTCCCATCAGAGAATTTTACAGCAACCTGACCGACTTCGGCAATCACCCAAGACGATTACTGCGCACGCGAATAAACGGGCTATAGACTATCATCGACCTGTACTTGAGGACAGATGTACTGCTGCTAGCCGACGTGTTTGAGACGTTTAGGCGGACGTGTTTTAAGCAGTATCAACTCGACTCCGCATGGTACTACACCAGCCCAGGTCTGTCGTGGGATGCATTGTTGAAAAAGACCGGAGTTAAGTTGGAATTGCTCACCGATTACGACATGCACCTATTCATTGAGAAAGGCTTGCGAGGTGAGATTTCCATGGTCTCTAAACGATACGCGAAAGCAAATAATCAATACGTGAAGGGCTACGACCAAGAGCAAGCCAACCAATCATATTCTCTACCTCGACGCCAACAACCTGTATGGCTGGGCCATGAGCCAGTATCTACCCACAGGGGGATTCGAATGGGCATCGTACGAGGTCGATGTTATGAGCATCGCGCCAGATTCGAACAAAGGTTATATCCTCGAGGTGGACTTAGAATACTGTAAACGTAGTATATTTCGCGCAGGTTTTATTTTCGCGCATTTCGGTTTTAACATTTTAGCGCGAAAATTTATACACCGCGAATAAACCTGTCATTCATTCAGTCTAGCCACGCTCGCCCCTGAGTTGTTACCATAACACATCAAGTTTGAAGACAGAAATCTACGGGAATCTTAAAATGACGACTGATAGTAGCATAAAGAATCAAACTTAACTGTCGCTGTAATGGATTTCCCAAAACATAATTAAATAATGAGCCAAATCCCATCGCCGAATTAGCGAAAACAGCAATGTGTGTTGTGGCCGCCATGGAAATTGGTCACATGACAGATGGTTTGATACAAAACAGATTACCACGAAACGACTCGGAAAGAAATAATACAGCAGTATTTTATTTATTCATTTAGATACAAACGTATCATCATGAAGCGAATAGTCACTAACACTCAATCATCTCATTCCCAACAACCCGGCTTGTTTGAAATCACAAAGAGCATCATATACAGTATAAGTTAATTAGTCAGATCGTCAGAATTCGGAACATAATACTGATGTGTTTTTCATCTCTTCCGGGAGTAAACGGGTTACTGTGTACTAGTATATCGCACAGATAGGGATTTCCTGTGAGTAAGTAATAAATGCCACCTGACAGGTTCGGCCACTCTGTTTGTTTTCACTGCTATTAGTGGCGGCCAAAGAGACGGCTGGCAGTTCCGGCAATTACTGATTGCGCGAATAATTGACCGCGCGATGTAGTCTAAACTGTCAATTCCGCGAAAATTGCACCACGCGAAAATAAGTACGTTTACAGTACCCCAAGGCATTGCACACATCGCACAACAGCTACCCCTAGCCCCCGAACGTATGAGGGTTAACCCAGACTGGATGTCTGAGTACCAACATAACTTGCTAGGTGGGCGGGTGGCAGACGTTGAAAAACTAGTGCCCAACTTAATGAATAAGACCAAGTACATCGTTCACTATCGCAACCTACAGCTGTACCTGTCGTTGGGTATGAGGCTGACCAAAATAAACAGGGTGCTCAAGTTCAACCAGAGCCCCTGGATGGAGCCTTACATCAGAATGAACACGGACCTGCGAAAGCTGGCCAAGAGTGACTTTGAGAAAAACCTCTACAAGCTCATGAACAACTCGGTGTTCGGTAAGACTATGGAGAACCTGAGGAAACGTGTGACCGTGAAGCTGGTTCGGTCGAATGAGGAAGACAAGCTCAGGAGACTGATAGCCAGCCCGGCATTCAACCGGAGCAAGATATTCAGCGACGGCCTGGTTGCCCTACACATGAAGAAAAGCCACATCAAATTCAACCGGCCTGTTTACTTTGGGATGAGCATCCTCGATTTATCCAAACACCTGATGTACGACTTTTACTACAACGAGCTCAAGAAACAGTACGGCGCCAGGTGTGAAGTGCTGTACACTGACACGGATTCGCTGCTGATGGGGATTCGAACCGAGGACGTGTATGAGGACATGAAAAAACGCCTCGATTTGTATGACACCAGCGACTCCCCCAAGGGCCATGCCATACACAGCACGGTAAATAAAAAGGTCCTAGGTAAGATGAAGGACGAGTGTGCCGGCACGCCCATAGCTGAGTACATAGGTTTGAGACCCAAGATGTACTCCATCCTCAAGGCAGACAATGGTGAGATCCGGAAGGCGAAGGGTGTTAAGAAGTACGTGGTGAAACAACACATCAAACACGCCAGATTCAAGGAAGCCCTGTTCAAGACCCGTACCTTTAGGCATAAAATGAACACGCTTAGAAGTGATGGGCATAGGATATACGGACTGACTATAAACAAGACGTCCCTGTCGCCGATGGACACTAAACGTTGGATAGCTATTGATGGGATAAACACGTACGCGTACGGGCATGAGAAAATTGAACCAAGAACATAGGTGTATATATATCGGGATGTCACGGAACCAGAGAAAGTTTGAGGCTATTTACTACAGCGTGGGTACTGGAAAGGAGTTAGCGCCGTACATAAGCTGGCTAAAATGGTGCGAGTACCCCCAAATGAGGCCAAAGCGTGGCTTGAAAAACAAGCCCTGTGGCAGATCTATTTACCGGCACCACGCTACGTGCCTAGAAGGAAGTTCGGTATTAACATACCCAATAGCGTTCACCAGGCCGACCTCCTGTTCCTACCCCACGACAAGAGGTACAAGTATGCCCTAACCGTCGTGGACGTTGCCAGTCGCTACAAGGAAGCCGAACCCGTAAACACGAAAGACTTAGCCCAGGTAGCCCGCGGGTTCGAACGCATATACAAGCGCAGTCCGCTGACGTGGCCCACAGAGCTGCAAGTTGACCCCGGGCGGGAGTTCATGGGTATCGTGTCACACCTGCTAGACAAACACGATACCAAGGTCAGGCGTGGCACGGCCGGAGCCCATCGCAGCCAAGCCATAGTTGAGAGATTCAATCGGACTTTGGTAGAGCGCTTATTCGGGTATCAGTATGCGAGAGAGATAGCCAACCCGGGGAAACGATCGACTGAATGGGTAGCGCGGTTACCTCAGGTGGTGTTGGCCATAAACCACGAAATCACCCGTCTCACCGGCAAGAAACCAGCCGACGCTATCAAACTAAAATCAATAGTGGCTGCGCCATTGCGTGGGAAGGAGAAACAGATACCAGATAGGGCCCTCGTGAGATACCTCTACCAGCCGGGGGAACACGAAGGTGACATTCGGAAACGAGCCACTGATCCTATATGGTCAGTCAAAACTTACAACATAGTAAAAGTGGACATCAAAGCCGACGAGACGAACTTGTACTACTTGAGAGATGGGCCAGGGAGAGGGTTCGTTAGACAGGAATTATGTTACCAATGTTACCCCTGTCAACACGTCATAGCGGCACAAGTAACTGGGCCAAAAGTGGGATACAATCGAGGGGCTAAGTTTTAACTGGGGCTTCACTTGAACCCGGACTATCATTATATATACTACTGGTGGCGAGATCTGGTGAAGGATGCATGAAGATACTCTGCATAACACTTTCTAAAACCACTGTTACATATGGTAATGACAAACGGAAAAGCATGACCATTTCAACAGCTGATATTTGAACCCAATAGAATTTCTGATTCCATGTTAATAGCACTATCATTTTACAGGAACGTGTCTCTGAAGGGCAACAGTGAACTGCGCCATTATGATACAACTATTGTACCCTCTCAACTCTTCCTAGGGAAGAAACATACTGGTGTTCAGTCAGAAACTTGTAAGCTTTGGCCAAACAAAAAATACTGGCCTTTCAGTTTATGGCATGTATCCACAATCTTTATCTTGCCAAGTGGTATTCCTTCAATACCCTCATTAGGAGTCTTGTAGTGAAGACAGGGTGGGATCATGCCATGATAGATGGACATTATACACTTGACCACAGCCGATAACCCTGAACAGAAAATAAGATTGCTCGAATATCTCATGTGAAGAAGCACTTGTTTGTGGCTATGGAGTTGGAAGCATCATACTGTATTTAAAGATCTCAAAACACTATTTGTACCAAAGGTCTAAGGCCAAGATACAGGTAATAATGTGATGTCATGCACGATGAAACTACAGCCTTGGATATCCGTTTTAAGAGTACTCCACAGGATTTGCTGACACCACACATTTGAAGCCGGCTTTTCTTATTTGAATATGAATTACATGAAAGAAAGATTGCCGTCTGACCTGAAGCTGCTTCACAATGACCCATGTTGCTTTTCACCGACCCAACCAAAAGGGGTTCGTCCCTCCCTTCACACAAGCCATCCAGGATTGCGTTCAACTCCAGGCAATCACCAGCCTTAGGAAAAAAATTATAATGTTGAAGAGCAATGTCACAAAGAGCATACTTCTATACTGGTAGCAACGAACCCAAATCGTCACAAACATGCTAAGTTGGTACTGTCCCCGATTAACTTCTTTGACTTCATATGTTTCTTCAAATATTTCCGCAAATAACTCGAACATTGCTCATGCATTTTATTCACTTTATTATATAATTAGTTTGTTTTGGGAGTTGTTTAACGCCGCATTCAACAATGTTCCAGATATACATGTATGACGGTTGCATGTAAATAACTAAGTCTAAATTCCGGGGAATTACATCATCAATTAAGAATGCTGAATATTTGAGTGAGTGAGTGAGTATGGTTTTACGCAGCTTTTAGCAATATTCCAGCAATGTCATGGCGGGGAACACCAGAAATGAGCTTCACACATTGTACCCATGTTGGGAATAGAACCCGGGCCCTCAGCGTGACGAGCGAACGCTTTAACCACTAGGCTACCCCACCGACCTTTAATATTTGAGACCTTATTATACCTGCAAATTGCAACCAGCGGTGTTAAAACATAGCCACGTCTAAACTAGGAAACATGGGACCAATTGCACAAAGGGACATATCGCTATGACTACAGTACCCCATATTGAACCTCCATTACAATCAATAGTTCACCTGAGTGCCTGTACCGTGAGCCTCGACGTAGGCGAGACTTGATGTAGGTATCAACTTCTCGCCATACAAGGACCTTAGGAGATTGCCTTGAGATGATCGGCTTGGGTACACTATTCCTGCAAAATCATAATCACTATAACCTGTAAATGACATACTAAAAAAATTAAAATAAGAAAGGCTTGTTGTAAGATATGTACAGTTCATGATGGACAATGACGACAGGATGGCTGACTCACCCTCCACCTTGTATCCATCGCAGTTTACAGCAATGTCCGCAATGGTTGCGTAGATCCTTTCGCATCTTTCCGGATTTCTGCAATCAAATAACAGGCATGTAAAGACTTGTTCATTTTCTGTATCTGTACATTTGAGGATAGTTCAGGAATCCTGCCACTTAAATGTAGAATGGACAATGTACTGTTTGGACCAACTATTGGGAATCTGGCATTGCTAAACATTCCACGAAAAAACAATATCATAAAAACCTAACATCATTTCGAAGTTTTTTTCAGAAGTTTTTGCATCCGTATCTAAAAATCAGTACCAAAAGCATTAATACATACATTACATTTCCTGTGTTGATGAGTATTTCATCTTTTAAATGATCATAGCACATACCAAGACGGTACTACATTTGAAACATTTCGTAACTGATAAAAATCCTCACCTCGCCAAGATGAGAACTGCTACTCCATCCGATCTCACGTAGCCGTTAGCGCTGATGTCGAACACATGGCTATCTCCAGTGGGGCTGAGCATGCCTAATCTGTTGAAAGACTGCGAACAATTCGGACTCAGAATCAAATTGACGCCTACAAAGGAAAAATGAAGCAAACAATTCCAAATAATCATAACAAATGCAGATATCTACCAGCAGTACTGTGTTTACGTTGAAGCGGACGGCCTAGATTGTTATATGACGGTGGTATGTAAGTAATAGAATATGGACCAGATGAGCCAGTGAATGACAACATGAGCATCGATATACGCAATTGGGATACAATGACATGCATCAACCATGCGTTAGCCAGCCTGACCCTTAGTCGCCTGTTACAAGCGTTTGCTATCGAGGATCGGTTCTTCCCTTGATGTTCTTGGATCTATGGCGGTTTGAAAACTGAACAACTCCCCAACAGTGAGCTTGACAAGCATCAATTGGTTAACAATCGACACTCAGGAGCAATCCTGGCGATTTGGCTGTCCTCAGATCCGCACCTTACACCATCATGTTAAGGAAAACCATTAAGTTGCCACAGTGTCTGTACAAGAGGGGCAAGGAGAGGCATTAAAGTCGCGTTCAATATCGTGAATATCCTTAGCGTCGTATATGCATGTCTGCATGATGGAAACGCGTTCCTTCTTGTTCTAGTCTGTCGAAATGCAGGTTTAATAGTGCTAGCACATGTACCACCCATTGATGTCGGTTGGTGTGATGCAGTCGAGGATCGAACCACCTATCTCAGGCTACCCGGACAAATGCTGCATGCGCTAGACCACCGAGGTGGGCCGATGCAGCATAGAACACATATGACGGGCTGTCCAGATGTTTAGTTGATGCAACGTTTCTTATGTTTTGGTCGCAGGTGGGTTTTAGCTACAATGCATAATACCAACATTTTAAGTATGTATCATTAAGTCATGCTAGTCCATGGGAAATCGAACCACGGTCTTTGGCGTGATGAGCGAATGCTTTATTCACTAGGCATTTCCCCGCCAAGCATCATCTGCATACCAGCAAATTTCTCACCTGTGACAACAGCATAGTTACATCTGCCTGTAATGAGATCTGTGACAGCCATCTGCAGAGCGCTGACTGAGGAACTACACGCTGTGTCCACGGAGGCCACAGGTCCCTGGAACCTGTACCAAGCGTTCAACTGTTGCAGCAGGGTCGACCGCAGGTTGGCTGGAACACCAATAACACCTGATTTACAGTCGACTTCAGATGTAAACGGAAATATGCATTCCAGGAAGCTATTTCTAATCCCTATGAATCCAAGCAGTTTTGAACACTTGTCATTTGAAAAACAAAGTCAAATGGTTTTAGGAAATAAGTTTTGGAGCTTAGTCCACAAAATTAAAGCAGTTAGTTTGTTCCAGCTTGGACATTTACCACACAGTAATCCTCAGTTTCGTTAATCCTATATAAAAGCATATTTACAACTCGGCAGTTAAATTATGTCCGATGTATCATATGACTATTGTTATATCATGACAGATAAAGGAAGGTAATCTGGATAATCGGGCGTTGTTGAATCTCTAAGTAATATAAATGTACTGAAACTTCTTCTGGTTTGTCTCAGATCAATATTGAAAGCAGGTGTTCGATGATTTGAGCTGACATTATCATGTATGTAAACAATGAGTCGACCAACCCACATACTGTCCATAGCAGGTAGTGACTAAAATGACTCGGATCACCACCACACGGATCAACAACACATACAATGTGCAGTGAAACTGTACCCTTACCATGTACACTGTCCGTTACAGCCGAGGTCGTGATGGCATCTGCATCAGAGAAAGTACAGGCCACATAGAGTCCCGTCCTGTCTGATCGCAGTGAGGACAGGGTCAGCCCTGAGTCGACAACACTCTCATACGTCACCTCGAACAGAAGTCGTAGCAGCAGGTTGCTATGCCGAGCCTGGCAAAATACACCAACCAATGCTGTATATTAACTACAGTCAACAATATGCAAGCTGGACATATATACTCCTCACAAAAAAAATAAGCAACACGAATTTTCAGTGTTATATCTTTATCAAGCTCGATTTTGCCGACATGTTACTGAAAGGTAAATATTAAAAGAATACATAACCTTTAGTGACTGTCAAATTGATTTATCTGAGAACATTGACATCACCCGAACACAACCACCCTCAGAAACAACATGCAAAATGTGTGGCATGAATGTGCTCCACTCTTCACACATGCACCCTGATCGGTGTAAACCTACCTGTAGTCATTCCTCTGGTACAACAAGCTGGTCCTAACTTCATTTTTATGGATGATAATGCCCGTCCATGGATTATAATGCCTGAGAAAGTGTCGTTAACGATGTTGTTTAGATCAACATCACACATATGGACTGGCCTGCAAGCTCACTTGATCTTAATCCCTTTGAACATGCTTGGGACATTATTGGAAGTCGTCTTTACCGTCTCCATGTTGCAAAGACTTGTAGAAGCTTGCATTTGTGCTCATGGTGGTCATACGCTTTACTGAACACTGCTTCACTGTCCAAAACCGACTTGAACCTTAATGTTAACATTTTGCTCCATCAATGCAGCACATTTTGCACGACTGTTTCACGGGTACATGCTTTTGATGATTTGTAAGTCTATTATTGCTCAATACCATTTCATTTCATTTTGTTAATCGTGTGCACATATGTTTCACCTTTCTATTGCATCATTCCCTGATTTGCAATTAAAATAAATGAAAATGTAATGGGAGTAAAAATTTGTGCTGCTTAACTTTTTGTGAGGAGTATATATAACGGCCTGTTATGGGTTGACTTTGGACCGAATCAGTGTTTGTTGTTTAACGACGCACTCAGCAATATTTCAGCTGCATGGCGGCGGTCTGTAAATAATCGAATCTGGACCAGACGATCCAGTGACTGACACTATGAGCATTAACCCACGCAATTGGGATATGATGACATGCATCAACCAAGTCAGCGAGACTGACCAACCGATCCCTTTAGTCGCCTCTTACGACAAGCATTGGTTGCTGAAGACCCAGATCTTGTCGGGTCGACCAAAGCAGGGATTGATAGCATGAGCAATACCCCGGCTGATCGGGTACGATAATGCCAACCAAGTGTCCTGTGCATCTCTAAAAACCTATCATTGCTTGGTTGAATTTGCTAGACTTTCTTTCATGAATTTAAATAAAAAGTGTTTTATTACCAGGATTGTCCAATCTATGAACACAGGTACCAAAGGCATCACGAACATTGTCTTGTAAGGTAACCAAACAAAGGTCTCACTATACCTCAGTCTCTGAATATCCAAAGAATTCTGCATCGAAGGTCCCGAGGTCTGGGATGCTACCTGCCCGAGGTGGAAGACCATAAAGTCCCGGGGGCCAGCGTGAAGGGCCCAGCATATCCACGCCGTCAATCAGGTTCTGCCAGAACTCCTGGTGGAAAGGACAGTCACATACTTCAGCAGCGTAGATTTCGAGTTCAATACAAAACATCCAAATGCACTAAAGTACTGTCGGAAATAGAAACAAACCTGTTTTTCACATTTATATCTACAATTTATGAAGTTGATATATGAAAGTGTTGATTTAAGCTTTTCTATAGGTATCAAATTCATTTACATATCTCAACATAAACGTTATGAAAGACACGTAAGATGATAATCAACAGATGAGACATATTCAAGACACATGAAAAAAACACAACATATCTTTGAGATGACCCCTTGTGCCTGAGCCAGTTAATAGCTGAAATTTGTCTTGTCTGTATATAACTAGTCCAAAGATGATTTAAAACCGTAGATATCGTGACCGACCAACCAATCCAACCTTTGTTGGCTCTAAAAGTAAATGTAAGTGATCAGAAGATTTGTCCTACCCGTGCAGAGGTAGTCGAACATTGTGCAAAATGCTGTGATGACTGTCACACTATCAGATATCAGCCGATATAAAGCTATTGAAAGGTCTTTAGAAGTTGGACGAACATGAATACATGACACCTTTTTATGGATAACTTCTTTTTATTTTTTATACGACCTTTCACCTGATGAAGGGACAAGGATTAGCTCTGAACTCGAAATGCTCCACAGAACATAATACATTATGAGTCATAATGTATTGTACTGTGAAGCATTTCGAGTCGGGGGTTATCTCAGTTTTTAATATATTTTTTAACATCTTTAATCTTCGCAAAGACACGAGGGCCTGTGATCGTACACGGGTCTTCAGCATGACGCGTGAACGCCTTAACCACTAGACTATCCCAACGCCCCGAATCCACATGAGTCACATACTGGAACACTATCTCCAGGATAACAGTCCTTTACATGGAGGACCAGTCAGTCCCCGGCAGACCAATCAGAAATTTAATTCTCATTAACCACCAACATGCTCAGTTAGGTATTCATTAAATTTATAATGCAAACAAACGTTAAATATAATCCCGAATTTGGAAGGCTGCATGTTCAAAATACCTCCCAGCCATGACAGATTCACTAAAGTAATATACACAAAAACATTACCTGGACATTATTGGACTTGGGGAACCGACAGGAGACTCCCGAGATGTACGCCTTTATCATGACACTGATTGGAGATCTCTACTGGGGAACCTGATACCTGAAATAGATCTAACTTCCAGTACAAGTACTTGTTACTGCGGAGTGAGAATGGTTTTAGTAGAAGACAGGACTTTATTCACCCTTACACTATTGGCATCAGGAACAGATCCAAATTCTGAATGCTGCTCCAAGATCTGACATGTTACAGATCAACGAACAACGCCGCCAACCACTGGATTTTCTGGTCCGCACTCATTATTCAAACACCGCCCTCATGCATGTACCTTAGTAATGCTGCATTCAACAGCTGACAGATCAATGAAATCTAAAAACAGTTGTTAAACGTTTCACTTAAAATCCACATTTCACCATGTACGCCTATGTTCTAACCACGGAGATATATTCGCAGCATCATAACAGCAATTACTACAGTCCATTTGCTGCACAATCGTACTGATGAAATGGCAGTGAGTGAGTAACATTTTACGTTGCACTCAACAATATTCCTGCTATATGTAAATATTCGAGGCTGGATCAGACAATCCAGTGATCAACAGCATGAGCATCGATCTACGCAATTAGGATACGATGATATGTGTCAACCAAGTCAGCGAGCCTGACTACCCGATCCCGGTAGCCGCCTCTTACGACAAGCATGGGTTATAAGGGTAGGAGTTCCACCAGTAACCCCCGCTTGAAATGCATTCTGTTTATTAGGATTATTTCGAGGGTTTAGGTGTAGGGGTTAGGGTTATTTTTTTCATATAAAAAGCATCCATTCTTATGCATAGAATGATAAAAAAGGAAAATATCTCTGTCAAAATGATGGCTGCATTTTAACAACATAACCAATGGTATTGTGAGTATTCTGTATGGCTATACAACGTTTCTAGATTTGGTGTGAAATTGTATCTGGCAAATTTGGATTGTTCTCGGTGAAAATGGTTTAAAAAATGAAATTAATTCAACTGTTTGCTATGTTACCTAGTGGAATGTACACTAATTCAAATCGGGAAACGTTTATCAAAATTGAACACTAATCGAAATTCAGGCAATCTTTATCATTACATAATTCTTTTGTCGCCTCATAACACGTGAAAATGCATTTTACAACCCTTCACTCGATTGACAAAAACGAGTACAAGAGTGAGTGTGTGAGTTTAGTCTTACGCCGCTTTTAGCAATATTCCAGCAACATCACGGCGCGGGACACCAGAAATGAGCTTCACACATAGTACCCATGTGGGAATCGAACCCGGGTCATCGGCGTGACGAGCGAACGCTTTAACCACAAGGCTACCCTACCACCCCACGAGTACAATAAGATGTCACGACGCTCTGAAAATTATTTAAGTTATACTGCAGTGAAATCCCTGACCTCGTATATAGCGCAGAAAATTCTAAAACACAATCTGGGATCGGTAAAACTTCTGCCCGCAACCTCTGCGTCGAAATGATTAAACAACCATAAACCCTGTCTGTATTGAAGTATTGACAAATCGGTTTGATGGGATTAGTATTGCCCTCCTCATTGAGGAAAAACGAAGCATTGATTACAGACTGAAATCTTTCCGTTGATTCGAGCATACTAGCAAAGCGTTTAAGTCTCATGAGAGTTCAGTTTTACGCCGCACTTAGCAATGTTTCAGCTACATGGCGGCGACCTGTAAATAATCGAGTCTGGACCAGACAATCCAGTGATCAACAGCATTCGGTCTCATGAAAACGAGGCACGTGCATGTAAGCTTGACAATGTAAGCATCCTAATTATGTGGATGCAGATTTATGATCATCTGATTGTGTTGATTGTACGACCTACAACGTTTTTCCCAATGTTTTCAACCTGATAAAATCAAACACTCTCGCTCGCGTTTGAGGACATTGTGAACATTCACTGGGGTACCCACAACAACCTTTGAACGTTGCAGATAAAGAAAAATATTATATCTGTAAACGATGTGATTTGGCCGAGATTCACCACGTGAAATTTTACCCTGACTTGATGATCAAATGAACTGCCCCGAAAATTCCAAAACATGTATGAAGTGCATGCAAATGACATACGTTAAAGTATTTCAGAGTAGTACAAAAAGTATTCGGACACGTGACGTAATTTCCATAGACTAACATGTTAATTTAGTGTAGCATAAATAATTTTCATGAATTTAATTTTCGTAAGATCCAAGTCAAATTTTGCACATTTGTGAGGAATGATCTTACCTACAATCACATAATTTGTTTAATTTTCTGTTGCTTATTTATCGAATGGCAACAAGTTAATCAAAAGATGTACAGTGCCGTGACCTCCATTTAACATGGCGGCCTATGGGATTGTGCATTGTGGAACCACACGTAAGTTGACAAAAGTGATGTCATTAGTTAAATAGTGGTCGGAAAATCGAACTGAAATTATGTGCGCAGAGCAGAGATGATTTCAAATTTGCCAATAAATTTTACAAAGATCCATCGTAAACTCACTTCACGAACATTATTTATGCTACACTGAAATAACATGTAAGTCTATGGAAATTACGTCAAGTGTCCGAATACTTTTCGCACGGGTCTGTATCTTTTAACGGAGATCGTTAACACAGAATATTCAAGACATATTCACAGTCAGTGAAAGGTATCCTGCCACGCCTGCTCGCCTCTTCTCGTCTCGCTCAGTGGCTGTCGTCTGGTCGCGCCTGCAGTCTGGGCGTCATATCTGCACGTGGCGCACGGGAATCACGAATTCCTTTACTTTGTCGGTTATTGACTCAAAACGCTATTGCTTTGAGGTGAGATGAGGTGAAATTGGATTTAACGTCGTGCTTGAGAATATTTCGCTCATATGACGACGTGCATGCGCGTGTGTGGGTATGTGCGGCTGCTTGTACTAGCCCAGACTTAAGCTGGTTTTATAGTGCTAGCCCACTGAGATACCATGCCGCAGTGAAGCATGAATACCCCATTACTATTGCTTTGACAAGAAGCCAGTGAAAGGAACACATTTCATGAGCGTTTCTGATTCAAAAGGGGACGAATTGAGCATAGATTTCATACGATATAATTGAAAAATTAAAATCAGTTTTTTACTACAGTTGTTTTGCTTCTGTTTAGTTGGCAACACCATGAAACACCTTGGTGACAACGTCGTTGGACAACATTGAAACTACACCCACTCGAGGTATATGCCCTTAAAATATTGAAAGAGTTCCTTCCGTTGCCCTGTATTTTTCTTCCGCAGATTAACAGAGGTAACGCAACATGGTTCGGCCTTATATATTGTAATTAAATTTGGGGCTTTTAGTTATTTTTGTGTCTTCTCTAGTACTTGTTGTGTTAGGTTTTGTTAATAATTGTAGTATATATTAATTTATAGATATTATTTGAGATTGGGGAACGGGAGGAACTCATACCAATATGGATTATTTATAAGAGCATTATTTCGAAGCACATCTATTGAATCACAGGGATATACTGCATTCGAAGCGCTCATAAAATAAGGTCAAATGCCCTGTGTATCAAAAGCGTGATTGTTTTTCTTGGTGTTGCAGATTCCGTGAGACTAAGTATCTTCAACAAAACCTGACCATTAGAATTTACATCTATAAACCTAAATGTTGACAGTTCGGTCCCAAACAGAGCTACAGATAACCTTTTGGGCCATGTACTCGCTTGTGTTCATCTCAGTTGGGTATTTTAATTTTCCTTTGAGTAACCAAATAAATTGTACCCACCTCACTCAAACTCAATTGGGTATTTTGCCATTTTCCATAAATTGTAAAATATAATAAAGTTTGAATGTTGGTTTACGTGTTTTTATGGTTTACGCTATTTATATTTGATCTGTACTACGAGCAACGATAAGAAAGACTGCAAGTTGCCAAGTTCATGTGCTGAAATAGAACCTCTCAATATACCTCAGTTATTTTATCTATCCTCAGTAACCTCCATCTTTAGCGACCAGTGAAGATCCGGGTCAGAATTGATCTTCAGTAACCCATGCTTGAAGTAAGAGGCGACGATTCCAACTGGATAGGGTGGTCAGGCTCGTTGACTTTGTTGACACATGTCATCGTATCCCAATTGCGTAGATTATTGCTCATGTTATTGATCACTGGATTGTCTGATCTTGAGTCGATTATTTACAGACCACCGTTATATATATGGAATATTGCTGAGTGTGGCGTTAAACAACAAACCAACTAAGCAGTGCTTTATCTGCTCCGGACTCTGGAAGCTTGAATATTGCGAGTGCTCCGTTTAACAGACAGATAATATAGCAAATACGTAACCGTATTTATAACTGAAGTTTTTGGTCACTTTCTCTATTATCATTACCTGTAGCACATGGATGCTTACTCAACATTCTAGTAGATTTGGTGACAGGAACTAATTCACCGGTACGCAAGCTAAGATTTGACATTTTTGTGTGTACCCATGTAAGATCAAATGTATTGAGAATTTACCAAATTTCAAGCGTACTTGTACGCAATAGACTTAATAGGAATTGAGTTTTCACATAGACAGTTGCGTAATTTACGCAGATACGCAGCTTATCTGTACCTCTAGTCCCAAATGTCTTTTAATCGAACGTGAACTTTGAAAATGGGTAAAACATCGAAATCTAGACAATTTTGAACCGTATCTGGTCGTCGATTTAATCGCCTATTACGAACATAAGTTGTTGGACCACATGCAAACAGGTTTTTGCAACAAGCAAGTCAGAACCGAGCCTCGCCATCCCATCCATTTAGTCGCTTCTTAAACACATTGGTTGTTTGGACAAACGCGTCCGAGTCTCTTGCTTCCAATAGTTGTTTGTTGGGGATCTATTGCAGCTCTTGAGCTATTTTGACTGTGCAGAGTTGCGTCTCTTGTCACACCAGAATCCTATGACTCTGGGTGCGAAACACTGTTCGCCCTGGTTGTTTCTTGGTTTGTCTGCACCATGACCATGTGGTATTACGAGGAGCTGTCAGAAGGTTCTGAGCCTGAAATACTTCTGATATGTGCATGCTAAAAATATCTGTATGATATTGAAGAATAGTTGATATCATCAACATAAAGGGGCGGTGGGGTAGCCTAGTGGTTAAAGCGTTGGCTCGTCACGCCGAAGACCCGGGTTCGAATCCCCACATGGGTACAATTTGTGAAGCCCATTTCTGGTGTCCCCCGCCGTGATATTGCTGGAATATTGTTAAAAGCGGCGTAAAACCAAATTCAGTCAGTCAGACAGTCGTTCACATAAACGTAGTATTGACATGCACATGTTGCTAGGTCCGGTCACGTGACATATAATCACATGTACCCCTACTAAAACGGCGGAAATGTATGAGTACAGAGCAGTCATAAACTTTTTGGTCCTCGAGGGCGACCCGGCGGAGCACATGGAAGAGCGATTGACAGCGCTACGAGGACTGAATGGGGTACCCGCAGTGCTGTCAATCGCTCTTCAATGTGCCTCGCCGGGTGGCCCTCGAGGACCAAAGAACTTTATGTTAAACTGGGGTTAAATTGACATCCTTTGTACAGAAAAATGACAACCATTGAATACGGTACGATAATTTATATTTACAAAACGAACAGGTAATATATCACTACAAATGCGACCTATCTTGACTACTTGCCACGGTGTAATAGGCTCGTTTAAAGGCGTGTATCACAAAGTCTTAACACACATCTGCAGTGGAGGACAAATGTACGAACGCAGAGTCTGGGTGCTCTGGATGAACAAAAGACACAGGGGTGGAAATAACATTAAAATTGCTAGTGTACTCCGGTACAGTGGCACATGTAAAATCACTTGTCCTGATCATTTTTCCACTATACCGGCCGTTTTCTTGTTAATTTTTAAAATAAACAACATAATTAACATTGGAAAGTCAACTGGAAACCGATACAGCGTGATATAAAAAAAACACTGGACTCGGACGTCGGGCAATGGGTTATTTTCACCCCTGAGACAAGGATCATAGCGAATCATACAATCATAATAACAAATATATCATATCCGAAGATATTGTTAACTAACAAAACACAGTGCATGCACATATACCACATATATGAGTACAAAGAAATCTCGATAACTCGAAATCTGTTTACTCGATTAGTCATTCGGGATGGTGTACAAATTAAACATCAGTGCAAAAGAATACACAATTCTGACTATCCTCAAAAAAAGATTCAGTTTGGTATGAATGACAAAATATAGCTGTGAAAATCATATCATTGTACAAATGAATATAGTGATGACTCCACGATAGTTCAGATACGACACTTATGCATAATTCATTCCATATGATTTTGATTGTCCAAGGAGGTTTCAGAATGAACCCGATATATTCCACATATTGCCATATAATTTGTATAATTTTCATGATATATAAACATAAAACACAATGGTTTTAACATTTGAATTTTGGGTTTGATTGTATAAAAACATTAAATAGTTTCGTGAACTCCAGAGATTCTTGATACATGTTTGCAATAATTACATGCTGCTTCCACAACTAAAAGACACATACTGTTGGTGAAAACTGACGCTGGAAGAACACTACAAACCCTTCATGTTGCTATCTGTCTCATTCTGGTGGAGAGTGGCTTCACATATAATATCTAACATATCCTTGTAACAAAGATATACATGTAGTGATATATTTCATTCATCGCTAACTACGTATTTTGAGAAGCACAACAAACAAAGGTTACCAGTTTTATAAATGCACGCATCGAATGTAATTTCTACCATTAATAAATAGCACTGTATCACCTTGAGGCTTCACCGTTAAGAGGTAGTATCACAGATTGAACTCCGTCACTGAAGGATGCAACGATTCAATTGAGGTATCAAGACACTCAATGCTTCGATAAGGATATCATATCGTGATGTCACGTTTTGATCTGTACCGATACCTGTATACATGATATGGTACGGAATTTGAAAATGTACTACTTTGTTAGTGAAGGATTGAACGATTATCGACAAATCGATGCATCAAGACACTCAATGGTTCGATAAGGATAATATCGTGATGTCACGTTTTGATCTAAACCGATACCTGTATGTACATGATATGGTACGGAATTTGAAAATGTACTACTTTGTTAGTGAAGGATTGAACGATTATCGACAAATCGATGCATCAAGACACTCAATGGTTCGATAAGGATAATATCGTGATGTCACGTTTTGATCTAAACCGATACTTGTATGTACATGATATGGTACGAAATTGTACTACTTTGTTACTGAAGGATGTAACGATTATCGACAAATCGCTGCATCAAAATACTCCCTGCTCATATCGTGATGTCACGTTTTGATCTAAACCAATACCTGTATACATGCTAATATATATAAACGAAACATTAACATGTATTACTTTGTTACATTGGATACAAGAGTTAAACTTCTAGTTTAAATGACATAAATCTACTGAATATATCAACTAAATACTTTGGGATTCGGTTGTCTCCTCAGTTCATTAATAAATAGGCTTCTTGACATCCGAAGAGTCAAGATTTCATCGATTGTCATATCGCAGGTTTTCGATAGCGATTGTATTATCCTTGACCTTGCATATCGTTAGTCTTCGACCGATACCTGTCTGCAACAGGTGTGTGGGCGTGGCGTGTTTCTTCTTCTAGTTTCATGTTCCCGTTACTATAGTCTCGTTTGATGCGTTCGTGACGTTTGATCTGCAAGATAAAAAACGCTTATTACAATCACGGTATATCGCTGGAATGAATTTGTGGAATCGGAACGATGTGTTGGTTAAGTTGAAATATCTTGGAAATTCTGATACTTTAAATATCAAGCATGGGCTCTCGAACATCGTGTGACTCGAATATTTAGTTATGGCTTGGGTGTATTTGAAAGCTGACGGACCAGTGCATGCGATTATTGTGGGTTAGCCTTGTGATTAAAACGTTAGTTCGTTATGCCGAAACAAAGGTTCGAATCTCCACATGGGTATACTATCTGAAGCACATTTCTGATGTCCCGCGTCGTGAATCTACGAGAATATTACCATCTTCCTCATTCAGTCATTCGTGCAAAAATATCGTGTAATATTCGTAATGCATTCATGTCTTTTGTTACCCTGGAACGTTGACAGATATATAATAATGTCTTAATAATATAATTCCTGTTGACAGTCAGTAGAGTGAGTGAGTATGATTTTACGTCGCTTTTAGCAATATTCCAGCAATATCACACATTGTACCCATGTGGGGAATCGAACCCGGATCTTCGGCGTGACGAGCGAACGCATTAACCAGTATGCTATCCCACCGCCCTACAGTCAGTCGAACAGGCCCCCACCAACCCATGCCTGCCATTCAGGACTGAATGGATCGGATGGTCTGGTTACGTGACTAGCTGAATTACGTTGATTGAGTGTCAATAGCGTTTACGTTGCTCATACTATCAACCACTGGTTGAAGATCCGGGTTAGGACTGGGCTTCAGTAACCCATGCTTGTCGTAAGAGGCGACTAACGGGATCGGGTGGCCAGGCTCGCTGACTTGGTTGACACATGTATCCCAATTGCGCAGGTCGATGCTCATGATGTTGATCACTGGATTGTCTGGTCCACACTAGATTATTTACAAACCACCGCCATATAGCTTGAATATTACGAGTGCTGCGTTAAGCAGACAGATAATACAGCAAATATGTAACAGTATTTACCAACTGAAGTTATGGGTCACTTTACTGGTATGACAATCGATCGACGGATTTTCCTTATTTCAGTTCCACATACAATATAAATTGTTCACTGGTCACGAGGCGGGGCATGGGCCCCGTGGGACCAGTGAACAACGTATTTATCTTACCGAACACCTTAATGTTAATTTTGAATTGTTTGAAGCATGGGTACGAATCTTTTTGTAGCCATCGCTTGATTTTGCTGACAATTCGCAAAACATCGGTAATTTCCGTACATCATACATGATTCAATGTTATTCGAGATAAAGAATTACTACCACGAAGTACCAAATGAGTTGCCATTGACAGCGGGGTACATTGAAATGTTACTCGCTTGTAAGCGGGGTACATAGAAAATAATAGAAAAGCGCTCAGCCAATAAGAAAGCGACATTTATGTGTGAGGTAAGATAATGTTTTTTGTAACACTCTGATAAATACATTGTCTACTATCAACACAGGAGGGAACATACACTGCAAGAAAGAATAATAAAGTTTGGAAAGCAAAACTTTCTTGACAAGCAAAAACTCGACAGCAAACTGTGTTTCCTCAAAGACTGAGAGGATATAATTTTTATTTATTTTTCTTCAATTTAAAACCCCCAATATTACTTCAAGGAGAAGGGAAAGATCAAAAGCATTCATGTCTGATTGAAATTATTGCACCGTGACATGCACTGATTTCAAATGTTTGTTTCATGAAAGGGATTTCTTATGTTGACAGCTGTTTGATTCACAACATTTTCGAGAATATTTTCAGACAGTGTGAAAAATATTTCCATGCCGGTCTGAAGCCTTTTCGTGCAACCGCAGAACAGGTAATTGACATGCGTGTTGCCTTTCGTTTATCTTAGGGCTTAGTTTTCAGTTGACACTAACTATGAGAGGAAAAAATAGAAAACAAAATATGAAAGGATAGCGGGACAGGAAAAAAGCATCAACTAGCGACAGTAATGCATCGGACAGTGTTATTTTGATTGAAAAACTTCTTGTGGCATGTTGATATTCCTATCGAATGTTCGGTGTCCTCTGTCAAGATGTGGCTGGTATAGTGCTTAAAGTCATGGAAAACTCAATCATTTATTTCATGCCTTTGGTACTTTTTCTGAACCAAAATTCGCCGAAAGTGTGTGCGTTTGTCTCCAGATGTGAACGATGAATTGTAAAATAACTCAAAATCAGGAATGGCCTACAAAATGCCCATAAGGTACACGACAATGAATATTCTGTACTCTGCCCCACCTACAGCTGTGACCATCAGCAGTAACAAAAACAACACCGACGACGATGTCTGTGACATGAGCAAGTCAGATTGCGACTAAAATTGCCATGAGGCGCCCCTACTATGCTGCCATACCAGGTACCGTTTTGTAGAATGTGCGCATTTCCGCTGTTCCTCCTACCGTTGTGACCCTTCCTTTAAAACAAATAACAACATGATACTTTCTTCAACACTCTTTCCAGTGATGGGTATAACAGTAGATATTGTTGGGTACAGGGTATCCATTGCCATATACGGGTAGGTTGGGTAACCTAGTGGTTAAAGCTTTTGCATAAAATGCTGAAGACCCGAGTTCGATTCACTACATAGGCACAATATGCGAAACCCATTCCGTGGCGCCTGCCGTGATATTGCTGGAATATTGATAAAAGCGGCGTAAAACTAAACTCACACACTCACTTATTGACATATATCGTATTGACAATTAATCAACTATTCCCGATTTTGCGATATTTTGCAATTTATCGCTTTTATTTGACGAAAACGAACTTTACGTTTAGTTTCGCATTTGTATTCAATCAGAAGTTGGCAGAACACGTGAAACTAGTTTAGACATGTACCTGCTGTAAGGGCAAAACGCACCCTTAAAATATTTGAGAACATAGAGAAAGAAGTAGTCCTCCATACAGCTGCATACCGGAGAAGAACAAAGAGGCTGAAGCATCAAGAGGCTGAAGCATCAAGAACAGGATGAAGCTTCAAGCAAAGGATAATCAGGGCCATTTACCTACCACCGGTGAATCCCTCATTTACGTAACCATCTAACGGCGTTTCATTATTTCTAACGTCATTTTGCTTGACGTCGACGGTGACCTCCTCCTCCTCATCTGGGAAGTGCATCTCTATAAAGAAGTAATATATAACCCACGACGTGAAGGACCCAAGCATTGGGCCCACGATGGGCACCCAGAACCAGTAATTTCGGAACCTGGAAAGAAAAAAGGAATGTGAACTTTGTGTTGAGAATATAACCTCGGCGAACGTATTTCGCGAAGACCTGGTGTCACCATTGATATTCAGTGAACCATTCGTATCATTTTAAAAGTCAATTTTACGTTTACGCCCAAATGTAATTCGGGGTTAATAAAGGTTGTGTTTTAGCAGTGACGTAGTTTAATACCGCAAACACATATTCCAACTATTGCAGACCAGCTGTAAATACCTTGTCCTTCACCTCCTTCACGGTCACTACCTGGTATGTTATGTGAAGTATATCTCGTAAAGCACATGTAAATGAGCCAATTTTGTGTTTCGCCATAGTCAGCGATATTGCAGCTTATTCACAACGCCTTGTTAAGTAACGAGTTTGGCCAAAGGCCCGGGTTCGATTCCCCTCATGTGTTCATTATATGAATGTAAAAAAGGACACATATGTGTAGTAAACGAATACGTACGTGAATGGTTCTGTACCCCACCCGGCTAAAGCTGTAAATATTCTCGGTCCAAGATCTCTAGCTGGGTTGATGGCGTAACCACAGTTGAGGGCGAAGCATGTTCCTATGGCAAAAACAATGGACCCGAGCGCCACAGGTACGAAACCTTTATGAGGTAGCATGTTGTTTTTGTCTGTTATTGCCAGAATACACCCGACTAAGATGAAGGTACCAAAAACCTGGAACAAACAGTGAACAAGTAAGACGGTTTGAATATCGAATCCCCACATGGGTACAAAGAGTGAAGCCCATTTCTGGTGTCCCCCGCCGTAATGTTGCTGGAATATTGCTCAGTCAGTCAGTCTTATTAAGCACTTACTATTCGTCAATAGATCACTTCATTGGTTTTACTTTGGTTTGTTGTTAAACGTCGCATTCAGCAATATTTCAACTATATGGCGGCCATCTGTAAATAATCGAGTCTTGACCAGACAAATCCAGTGATCAACATGAGCATCGATCTACGCAATTGGGATACGATGACATGTGTCAACCAAGTCAGCGAGTCTGACCATCCGATCCCGTTAGTCGCCTTTTACGACAAGCATGGGTTGCTGAATATGAATGAATGATTTACCTGTTTGACGTTCACAAGCGTTTTGGGACAGTTTATTATTAATCTATGTTACACTTGAAAATATAAAGCGTTTATGATTATTCGTTTCTATTTGGGGCTCTTTATAACCTTGAACAACTGCACATTTTTTTTTGGGGGGGGAGGGTTTTTCTGAGTGAATTAAAAATAGTTAGCTCACCTGATCAAAGAGGCAGCTGGCGGTCGAGACATAAGGTTGTGGATATGTTGCGAATATGCCCGCAGTTGCGTTGACGCCGGTGGTGTATCGGATGCCGCCATCGTAGTGGTTGATAGCATCTGGGGATTAAACAATGCTGACTACACTATCACTTTACTTGTCTGTAAATGACTGTAATCTCTACAAAACTCTCGGGTAAAAGAAATCAGTCATTTGCAGTGGACCCAAAGTTTGCAATGATTTGCAGTGGACCAAAAACTTGCAATGTTATCATATGGTTTTCATATGTTTGTTGTTGGCCAAATCAAATTTCAAGTGTGTATTTTCACTTGTCCAACAAAATAGTAATTCATAATTTTCCTGAGTATCATAATAACCTGGTCAGACGTTCAAATCCAATAATATTTAATCTGTCAGCAGTAGTTGTGAATTTTACCATATGTGGCAGTCGTCATCCCAGATAACGCTAGCATGCATTAAATCAATACAAATACCATTCAAAGCTGAGCGCACTCATTTGAGTTATGAAACACTTGGAACTCACATGCGAATGGATCTCGTAACTCGTATAAACGTATGTTTTAATCAGGGAAAATTGAGTCTGTGTACTTACATGAACTCCTACAAAACTTAAGAGGAACACTTTTTATGGACAGACAACTTCTTTACTGCAGTGGATGCGACGTGTAGATCCTTACACCGTTATCAAGCAAATGATACACAACATATGCACAAGGGGAAATACATGTATATACATAACGGGTTTGATGTACAGTGTGTTGACATAAGGAGGCCTGTTGTGATAAGAAATGATTGAAGCCAGATAGACAAAGGGTGGGTTATTCTTGATTAGACTTGATAAGTTGTGGGGATGTAATAACGTTGATCTCTGTTGATTGTGGGTTGAATCGTTTGATGTTGATTGCCTCTAAGAGTTTTCTTATCTTGTAATCTGACCGGTTGGCTTCTAGGATGCTGATGTTGTTCCAAAGGATGGTATGGTTCGGGCGTGCCATTTCCGACCACACCCAAGCTTGATAACGGTGTTAGGATCTATTCCGAATCATACCGTCGCATCAACTGCAGTAAAGAAGTTGTCTGTCCATATAAAGTGTTCCTCTTCATCACACTAGCTTCTAAATGCCACTTAAGGAAGACCCACAAAACTCATGCACAAATGATCTATTTAACATGTTTCTGGGTCAACAATTTACCACGATAAAGTCCATACTGAACAGCGGCGGCGAAGAAGGCCCCACACAGGTTGGCTATCGTGTAGAAGGGCCACTTGTACCACGGCACGATGCCCCTCAAACACAGGCCCAGTGTCACAGCCGGGTTTAAAGACCCTCCTGAAGAACAAGGAAACAAGACATAATTTACAATGTGTATCTTTAATGTTTCTTCTAAGTAAGTGTTAAATTATGGCACCAAGAAAGTACCGTATAATTCAAATTAAATATTATGTTCGGTGTGTGGTGTTCTAACACTGCAAACTCACACACTTTAAACATTGTCTTGTGTAAGTGTTTCGGTAACAAACGTTCTGTTTAATCACTCATCACATATTATGTGACTTTATGTTGACATGTGTTGAATAACCAATTACGTAATGGCATGGACACAAACAAAGACAGCTAGAGACTGAAAGCAGTTCTATATACAGTTATATATTACGCATATAATGATAACGGAAAAGCTACTGTGTGTTATGTGGGAGTGTTCCACAATGTTCCAAGTGTATGAGGCAGTGGCGTGCTTTATTTTTAGATTTCTACTCGATTTAGACAGAAAAATCTGGAAAGTGCTACAAGGAGCTGATTCCAGAATCATCTGCCTTGGAGACTATTAGGGAATTTTCTTTTTCTTCGGTATATAAGGGGAGTGAACTCTTGTCTCTAATCTCACATAATATCTCGGACATTTGTTCAAGTTGAATTGCTGTTGCTGGTAGATGAATATTATCATCACGATCACTGCTCTTGTATTATATTACCTTTGTTTTTGTACTGCCAGTCTATTTTGTACTGCATTGATTTTTTAAATACAACATATTTTTTGTTTGTTTGTTTGTTTGTCTGACACACGGTTCTTTTAAGGACTGATTCTCTGTAAGCTTTTTGGCTTCAGTTTGGGAATCAACACGTAACACATTTCACTGGATTTTTCCGGTCAAAACTTCATTGTTCACAGGCCGTCATCGTTTGGCAGGAATACTTCGGTGCGGTATTACGAAATTCTGTCCATTCATGCAAATTGTGTGAGTGGGGGAATATACCTGTAGCTCAGTGTTTTGGTGCACACCTGGAATTTTCACAGATTTACAGTGATTCATTCACATAATTCTCACAACTATTTTGCCATTTATTGCCCAAACGGAATCGGTTTCCGGGGGATTATGGAGACTAAGCATTACCTGGTGAATATATGTAACCCCTTATGCTAGTAAACAATCAGTTAGACCACATAATTAAGCAACTGACTGATTTTGGTGACACAGCTTGTCAAGAGTTTGATGCTATAAGAGTAAATATATTTTATTATACCAATGGCTTTTCATTAGAAACAATCTTATACGGAACATCTTCCATGAACCCACAAATTCAATCACATATCTTAAAATCAGTCCATCTATTTATAATTGAAACTAGGCGCTTTAACTGAGCAAGTCATATACTAAAACCTATAATTCTCAAAGCTATACTACTATGCCATAAATGTTTACAACCATCATGATTTTAATTTTCCGACTACATGTCATACCATATATATTCATTAGATATCTTTTTTTCTTGTCATGATACTGTTTCATATATCTATGTATATTAGAGTGGTCTTCATATAAGTTCTTTTGAGCTTGTTGACCAATCCAGTTCATGAAAATTCTGTCGTTGCTTTTTCATGAAATATATATGTTTGAACCACATAGCTTGTCATTCACTATGATGGCTATACGTCACATGTAGCGCAACGTTACACTGTGTATCCTGGGAATGTCAAGGGGAAATACCCCATTGCACAAGCTGAATCGATTAATGAGGAGCAGTTGAACATAACAGCTGTTGACAGTGGATAGCTATTTGGATGTTAAATATCGTGCATTGCTCTGTGCATCACTGCGTCCCTTGGGTACGTCATCGGTCTAGTATAATCATGGGTTCGGATAACCGCAGATTGGAAAATGAAGGAACGTTTGGACAACTACAACATTTCATGCAACTGTATACACTCCTGCATTGACGCGTAGGTCTATTTGCTGGGTAATCTACAGACTAGACTAACAACTAGTCTCTGAAATGAACAAATTTTACAGAAATAAAACAGTTCATAAATAAAAAAACAACAAAATATAATGAAAAGGAGCCTGAGACTTTCTTCATTTTCATTGAAACTGTGGAAATCTAGACTTGCAACATAGTCCAGGAGGAGGCAGCTGAAATATTTGAAATCCTAGCCTCCCAGTACTGATTTTGTTTGACGCTTTTTTCAGTTAGTATGATGTCTAGGGCTCATGAAATTGCCTGTAATACTCTCAGATTGTGGTATCAGTTTCTTACAGGCCATTATATGTGGTGGGGGTCTGCGAGCATTTTCGTCACATTGGGTTTGCTGCCCGACAACACCTCAAAGTCAGTCATGGATAGTTTTACTACTATCAATCTGATCACTTTCATTTTGACTTCTGTGTGTTACTAAAGGATGTAGAAATTATTTGACATATTTTTGTTTTGGAAAAAAAATCAAAATGGCCGCCATTTTATTTTGTCTAGTTTTGCCTTCTCGGCGCTTAAATTTACATAAAAATGAACACCGAATGTTTCCATTTACATCCAAAGTTAATTCTTTACACGACTCAAGTCGTGGATTTCAACAAAGTGGCAATCGTATACGGCTTGCATCGTTCTAGGTTTTCTTCCGTCATTAAGCTGAAATACTGCACAAAGCGGCATTGAATTCAACTCACTCACCCGGTTAACCACCTGTCGACAGTTCTCACTCGGTACCTATCTGACATAACGGCTGCCGTATATATATTCACGATCACAATTCCTTGACCTGTTCTACAGCTGTAGGTCCCATTTAACACAAAGGCAACCGTGTTCTGGCGGAATGGTGCTGATAACGACGTACATACCTCATTACTCACTCTTTAAAAGCATATTCACTTACCTGACACCGCTCCTGACCAGTAGATTCCAAGTGTGAGTCCCATGCCTCCAGCAAAGTTGACGGTAAGGAAACTGCTGAGCTCCTTACGACTAAGGACATACTGAGCTCCTGAGGCGACGGCAAATGTCTGAAGCAAGAACCATCGTTGTTATTCATTCGGGGTATGTTAATGGACGCATCTAGATCTGTGCCGCTATTTTGTGGCGTCCAGACATGCTGGTGGCATATACCCATTGTCCCTGAACAAACCATAAGCTAAACCAAAGGCGTTTTGAAAATGCATAATCAACTGTTTTTTTGTTTCTCTTTCTCCAAAGGGAGAAAGGGATTCGTATCTGTTGTGAAGAAAATTAATTTTATGAAACAATTACAACCGTTATCAAACCGTCATTAGGCCGACAACATTCGCCGAAACACTGCCAACTTAAGGTCATTCAACACAACAATAAGGACTGTATCAAATACATCACCATCGAATAGCCATTTGTCATTTTGTTTCTTTTTCAGTCACGTCAAAACATGGGCGCATATTTTTGCCGGCGGTTTATATCGCTTGCGTCACTAAGGTGCCACGTCGTGAAGTTATCTAAAAACTCACTCACTCACCCTGTGTTACTTTATAACCGTTTTAAGGTTGTAATGACATTGCACTTTAATTGTTTCGCTATCACAGAGAAGAAGGAAGGTGTATCCAGTAATCTGTTCTTCATAACCGTTTTAAGGTTGTAATGACATTGAACTTTAATGTTTCGCTATCACATAGAAGAAAGAAGGTGTATCAAGTATTCTGTACTTCATAACCGTTTTAAGGTTGTAATGACATTGAACTTTAATGTTTCGCTATCACATAGAAGAAAGAAGGTGTATCAAGTAATCTGTACTGCATATATATATAACCGCTTTAAGGTTGTAATGACATTTTAAGGTTGTAATGACATTGAACTTTAATTGTTTCGCTATCACATCGAGAAGAAAGAAGGTGTATCAAGTAATCTGTACTGCATATATATATAACCGCTTTAAGGTTGTAATGACATTGAACTTTAATTGTTTCGCTATCACAGAGAAGAAAGAAGGTGTATCAAGTAATCTGTACTGCATATATACATAACCTTTTTAAGGTTGTAATGACATTGAACTTTAATGTTTCGTAATCACATAGAAGAAGGACGGTGTATCAGGTAATCTCGTACTTCATAACCGTTTTAAGGTTGTAATGACATTGAACTTTAACTGTTTCGCTATCACATAGAAGAAAGAAGGTGTATCAAGTATTCTGTACTTCATAACCGCTTTAAGGTTGTAATGACATTCAACTTTAATGTTTCGCTATCACATAGAAGAAAGAAGGTGTATCAAGTAATCTGTACTTCATAGCCGTTTTATGGTTGTTCAAGTTGTTAAAGTTCAATGTCAGTACAACCTTAAAACGCTATCACATAGAAGAAGGAACGTGTATCATGTAATCAGCAGCTTAATGCAGTTTCACATTAATCTGACATCTTGAAGAAGAAATACCAAAACAGCAACAGCTGTATCCGCATCAATATGCACACGCCAACAAGGTATTATTGACGAAAGATTCCTAGTCGTGCTGTGTTATCTCCCAGTTGCTACTCTGTGCGTGTACAAGTTGCGACCCTTTAGACCTCCGTAACATAATGGCATCTAAATAGGATACAGGGGAGAAATCGGTGCTGGGAGTTGATCAGGGTCATCATCTGTTAGTTGATGAGTAGGTGATTTATCAACGTTATCTGTTGTGTTTCCGATACATGTCTTGCCCACCTGTTGATGGCAAACATGCGCTGTCTAATTAGAGAGATGCGGCCTCCACGCTACTTGAAACATTCCATTAACGTATAACCCTATCATATTTGCCAACGCATCTTCAATATTGAAAGCGTTTGTTATTGTGGAAATGAACCAAATGAAGACTGATGATAACACGGATGACAGGTGATAAATGGCATATTTACATCCTTGAGCTTGATAAAAAGATATAGCGCGATGTGTTTTAAGAAATAGGAAATTGTGAATCATTACATTCAATAAATTTTGCATTCCTTGGTTCCGCGCATTTTAACGTCAAAGAGGCCTAAATATAAATATGAACATTCGCGATATACCTCCGATACAATAAATATTATAATGAAATGAACACGTCAAATTTCTTGAGTGAGTGAGGAAGCAGGTGAAAATGCCTATAAGCACAATTTCCCATTTCTTAAGATACATCATGCTATATTATTAAATTAAGCTCAAGGGCATAAATATGCCATTCATCACCTGTCATCCCCTGACAATCTCAGGTTGTATATATATTATATAAGACAATAATTGGTACGATAACCAATCCGATGCATTTATATTATAATTAGTATCATGTTCGGATAAATATGCAAAAGAGCCCCATTGGCCTATTTATGGTACTTAGTTCCAACTGCCTATATAGCGTTTTCCTTATGCACGGTTGCTTATGTAAACAAACATGGTTTTATGTTCATTCCGATCTACAGAGTAAGTCTGACAGTTAACTCAGTCATTGTTTTCCTGCACAGTTCATAAGTTACTTCAGAAATTGAAATATGTCTTAACCTTTGAGTATTATAAAACTGACATTCCATATCTTAAGCATCACATACATGTAGGGTAGTATTTCGAACTCACTGATATGGCGAACTATTTATACTGGACAAAATAAATTAGGGATATTGGTATTTTTATGATTGATATTTTATCAATGTGCCAATGAATAAATGCATCATTATTCATCATTTCAAAATTTACATATATCCCTAACTATTTTTGCCCAGTATTGTTGGCCGCAGTGACGTGCTGTATATGCTTATAACGAACTACGATTATAACGAACTAAAATTAGTTGTTCCTTCGAGTTCGTTTTATCCGTAGTTTACTGCGCTAGGAGTAAAATGTGTCTGTTGCGAGCCTTCACTGTTCGTAATACATATTTGTCATTTCTAATATTTATATATTTAGGATACGAAAACACAGTTTCAAATCTCAACGTCTTGAAATATTCCTTAATTAAAAACGATATCAGCTAACATGGAGTGTCTCATTCAACGTTCTTACACCAATCTGCCACAAAGAAAGATTTACACTACATTCTTGTACTAGAACCAGGTTGAAACATAGGTATGTTGACGGGAGGCGCTGCCGTTGAAAGATAACATTTGACCAAGGGTCAGTGAGAGTAGAAGATAACAGCCGTTGTATATAGAAAGTGCTTGCAATATATACATTACAGATAACACACTGACACATATCACAGGGTTTATAACGACCATAGCCATCCATGTTAAATAATTGTGACAGAAAAACTACAAGAAAAACATGCATAATCTCTTAAGGTGTTATGTCGACATCGCCTGGAAGAAAATATTGCTAAACACCTGTGATTCATGACACTATCGTGCTTTTATCATCTAAGTACACACAAAAATACATTTTCCAGATTTTCACTGTTGTTGCTAATTTGTAGTGATCCACTCATAAGTGTAATAGTTTTGTATCTTACACACATTGGAATGATTTTTTTTATAACCGAGACAGATTATTCTCTGGCAGTGACTTTTTATATATCTTTAGACATCTCCATCTCTGGGAGCAATGTACCTGCAACTCGGACTCCTTGCAAACAAAAGTCTGAAACAGACTAACTCGTGACTGAAAGGACGTACAACCACCAACGACACTGAGTTAAGATGAATTGAATTCAATTACGTAGGTCACGGTACGTGGAATTCCTATACGGTGTTTCATTAATAAAATTAAGAACTTGGCCTAACTTTATAATTTTTTTATCAGTTAAACCTATCAAATTTGATAGCAAGTTATAATGTCATTATGCTTCGTTTGACAAAATATGCTCATCTCGTCGTCCCTCCTTTCAAGGCACGCCCAGACACGGTTCATCACTTCTGTGTCTCCATATAAAATAAATAATTCAAATTGAATCAGGCTCTATTGACATATATAATGCTAAAATGTAATCTTCACAAATTATCTCTACCCCAAAACTTTGGCTGGGGCGGATAAATGTTAATACACATGTTGTTGCGTTGTGTTTACGGTTGTTGTTGTTTTAACAATCGTTATTAATATCATTGTCACAGTTGTTTGCTTTAGTCATTTTGCTAAGGTGACATATGGCTATTGATGGTAACTGACATTAACACGATGTTCATGAGTCAACATTAAGTAATGAGTGGACGTGAGTTTTTCATATTTACGCTGCTTTTAGCAATATTCCAGCAATATCACTGCCGGGGATACCAGAAATGGGTCACACTGTACATGTAGAGAATCGAACCCGTGACAAGCGAACGCTTTAACCACTAGGCTACCCACTGCCCCCTGGACGGTTTATGAGATCAGACGGCAGGTGTAACCAGTGTATGAATTAATTTTGAAAGGTCACCGGCCAGGAGGGCTAGTTACATGTGTATTGTAATGGTTCCTGACCTCTTTTGCGCAACGCTATTAACATTTTTATGTAGCGATCTTCCTGTGACAAGATATTATAAATATCACGAAACTTTTGCAGACTTTTAACACCTTAATAATTCACATCATCATATTCATGTGCAATAAAAATAAAGAACAAATTATCTGAGATTTTCAGCTGGCCAGTCGGGATAGCTTTAACAATATATTACTGGCCCGATTCACAATCAGCTAGCATTTGGATAGCGGGCCATGTAGCTATTTCGAACGCTGGGTGTAAGAGTAGCTGATGAATAGTTTTGATGATGATACTTCTTTACAACTGTTTACAATTAGTTGAACGATGATTATGGTCATGATGATCATGATGATCATGAAAAAGAAGAAAAATGTGACGACGACGACGACGACGATGATGATGATGATGTAGACTAATGCTTAGTCTCTGAATATATATAATTTTGATAGTAACAAACAAGCCCATTTAAATTGAAAAGGAGCCCCAGGGAGACCAGAGATCCAGAACCTGAGGAAATCTAGACTTGCTTTATTTAAGGCTTTAGTACTGCAGAGAGGGCTTGGCAGAAGGGAAAATAATGTGGTTCAGAGACTGTGAGACAGACTAATGATGATGATGATGAACGCCCCCCTACTACA